AAGAAAGAAAGAAAGAAAGAAAGAAAGAAAGAAAGAAAGAAAGAAAGAAAGAAAGAAAGAAAGAAAGAAAGAGAAAGAAAGAAAGAAAGAAAGAAAGAAAGAAAGATATCCAACAGAAGAAGAAAATTATTTTTAAGTGTATATAACAACTATAAAAACACAACAATCTAGGATTATTTAGTTTGTTATTTGACTCAATAAAGGTTACAGAGATAGTGAACAACAGGGACAGGATTTGGACTCCCATCTTCTGACTCTAAATCCAAGACTTTTTGTATTATACCATATTGACCTAGTTCTTGGATGGGTATTCTGCACTAGTAGGTATTTAATATTTTTTTGGAGGGGGGAGGTAGCTACGTGGTACCATACTGCACAGAGCACTGGATCTGGAGTCAGGAAAACTCATCTTTCTGAGTTCAAATCTGGCCTCAGACACTTACTAGCTTTGTGACCTTGGGCAAATCACTTAACCCTGTTTGCCTCAGTTTCCTCGTCTATAAAATGAGCTGAAGAGGAAAATGGCAAACCACTCCAGTATCTTTGCCAAGAATAGCCCAAATGGGGTAACAAAGAGTTAGACATCATTGAAAAAAAATGAAACAACTACTACAACCAATTTTTTATACCAAATCCATTATTTCCTTAGTATTGGAAGCTTCTTAGTAAGCAAACTCTCTATCAATGCAAACTGGTACCTTTAATCACTTAGAGAGTAACCTGGAGCCCATCAGTATTAAGTGACTGTCTTATCTCTGGAGACCCTGTACAAGTCACTTAACATCTTAGTGCTCAAGGTCAGGGGAGTCAAGCTCATATAGAAACAAGAGTCACTAAGCCACACATAATGATTCTTACAGGATGCCTCTTGACTTAGAAAACCACATAATAATATCTAGATTCTATCATATTTTCATTTTGTTAAATATTTTCCAATTACATTCTGATCTGGTTGGGTTTTGGGAATGTTGGCCCTGCAGGCCACGTGTTGGACACCTATGCTCTAGGAAACTTTCTAAGACTATAAATTACAGCGTAGGGGTCACCTGTCTCATAGCCAAGATGTGTTATGGGTGAGATTGGAGCTCTGATTTCACTGATGCCAAGACTGGTTCTCCATCCACTACACTAATGGCTTAATAACAAATAACCAAGTCATTGTTTAATAATTGAATTGAATACAAATGGATTTTTGCCTATTCTACAAAAGTAGAAATAGGACAGAGAGATTTAAGAAAATTGTCAAAAGTTGCCTAGAGAAGGTGAATTTAGATTCTAACTTTAGAACTCATTCATTTTGTTCAAAAAAAGTGAAGTAAACTGCTAGCTCTATATCCCAAAGATATCAAAAAGCAGGGGGAGGACCTATTTATACAAATATATTTATAGTAGCTCTTTTTGTTGTGGCTAAGAACTGAAAATAAATGTGATGCCCATCAATTGGAGAATGATTATGCAGGCTGTGGTATATGATTAAAATGTAATATTATTGTGCTATTAGAAACGGCAATTTTAGAAAAACCTAGAAAGACTTACACAAACCGATGCAAAGTGAAGTGAATAGAACTAGGAGAATGTTGTACACAGTGACAGTAATATTATTCAATGAAGAACTGCAAATGACATAGCTCTTCTTAGAAATACAATGATCCAAGACAATCCCAAAGTATTAATGGTGATGCATACTACCCACCTCCAGAGAAAGAACTGATATTGTTTGAATACAGACTGACACATGCTATTTTTCACTTTCTTTCTTTTATTCAACTCTTCTTGTAAAAAATAACTAATATGGGGGCAGCTAGGTGGCGCAGTGGATAGAGCACAGGCCCTGAAGTCAGGAGGACCTGAGTTCAAATGCGGCCTCAGACCAAATACTTGACACTTACTAGCTGTGTGACCCTGGGCAAGTCACTTAACCCCAACTGCCAAAAACAAAAAAAATGACTAATACAGAAATGTTTTTACATGATTGCACAAGAATAACCTGTATCTGATTGCTTATTGTTGAAGGAAGGGGAGGGGTGGAGGTAGGGATAGAATTTGGAATTCAAAACTTTAAAAAAAAAACGTTAAAAATTGTTTTAACATGTAATTGGATAAAAAGTAAAATATATTAAAAATGAAAAAGAGAAAAGAAAAGTCAGGTGAACAAGCATTTATTGCCTACTATGTGCCAGGCACTGTACTGTAAGGATCCAATGATCCTGCTTGAGGGCAAGGACTATCTTTTGCTTCTTTCTGTATCCCACAAATATTAGCACAGTGTCTGGCACATAATAGGTGCTTAATAAATGCTTATTGAATTGAATCCAGTGAGAATGAATATGAAAATATTTTGTAAAATGTAAAATACTCGATAAATGGAATTCCATTCAAATACAAATATTAAGCACCTACTGTTTACCAGACACTTTGCTAAGTGATGGAGATATTAAAAAAAAATTGCTGTCTCTTCCCTTAAGGAGTTTACATTCTATTTGTCAGATAAAACATGAACACAGGTAAGTTTAAAACAGGACAACGGAACAAAGAAGGGGATCAGAGAAATAGTTACAGAGAAATTGAAAGAAGACATACTAATAGCCAAGAAGATCTGGGAAGGCTATGAGAGATCTTTTTATTATTACTTGCTAGCTTACCTCCTGATGTTTCTGAAACAGAGAATGAGTAACTTGCAGGCCTAAAAGCTGGACTAAATTCATTTTCAGGAACAACTTTCACAATGATCATAACAGTGACTATGGGAAAGAAAAAAAAAACAAACAAGGGCTTAGTCTATGGATTATCTGAATAAGTCATAAGGCCTTGATATCAGTTATCAGTGAATTAGAAAAGAAAAGGCCAAAACTCTTCCTGCCTTAACGGATCATATTTGACAATCAAAATTCCCATCCAACCACCAAGGAAACCATTTGGCATTGTGGAGCTGGCCTCTAAACCAAGCTCCCCAGGCTGTCTTATTTTATCCTCTAGCTGTCTAGGAGACCCTGTGCAGTCACTTAACATCTTAGTGCTCGAGGTCAGGGGTGTCAAGCTCAAATAGAAAAAGGGGCCACTAAACCATACGTAATGATTCTTACGGGGTACCTCTTGACTTAGAAAATCACATACTAATATTTTCTAGATTCTATCATATTTTCATTTTGTTAAATATTTTCTGATTATATTTTGATCTGGTTGGGCTTTGGGAATATTGGCCCTGCAGGGCACCTGTTGAACACCTCTGCTCTAAGCAACTTCCTAAGACTATAAATTGCAGTATAGGGGTCACCTATATTGTTAAATGGAGTCTCCTCACCTTGGAGCTCCCTGTAACAATGAAAGGACAGTTCTGGTCCCTTTCCCCTTGTGGAACATAAAGGACAGATGTATCTATTTCCATCCAGTTCTGTGCATTATCAGCCTATACAGCATACACACATCCATCTTGTTGGCCATAACTGCCCAAAGGCGTTACGTCATCTGCAGCTGTTTTGATTTTCCCTAGGAGGTTCCCACCCTCCATCACACAGTAGGTGGCAAGCGACACACTAAATAGTATTCTGAGGATTTCATAGGACCTGCCCTCACGTTATCAAGACGGCACCTCATACTCATACCCTTGGGCTACTGTCTGGGACCACCTTCTTGTGAGAGGAGGTGGGGGAAGAAATAGAAAGATCCAGTGTTACTGTGCTTCCTACTAGAATAGTCCAAGGCCTTTTTTTTTTTTAACCAGACCTGTGAATTCTTTAAGGGATACCACTGATCTCTCTGTCTCCGATTATCACCCTGCCACCATACCTGAGATTCCCACTACTCTACTCATCCTTAAAACCAAGGTTTTCTACATAGGATTATAGATTTAGTGTAAGGAGTAACTTAAGAGTTTAATTAGAGCAACATTTTCATTTCACATGTGGGGAAACTGAGGCTTAGAGAGGAGAAATCATTTGCCCATGATCACATAGTAATTAAGTGGTAGGGCTAGAATTTGAACCCAGGTCCTCTGAATGAAGCTTCAACATTCTTCCCATTGGACAGCACTTCTCAGAAGTCCTACACCAAAACACCTGGGAAAGAACTTAGTTCTCTGCATTGAAAACATTAGCATGAATCAGATTTTCATACAGCTTAAAAAATTATATTCATTGTACTCTCCTGAAATTAATACATTATCATCAGCCTTGTGACAGACAAATTTGGGTGCCCTAGGCCCAGATCCACAGTGGAACCTTTGGAGTAAAATATTTACACTCGATTCACTAAATATTGCTTTCACTCTGAATGTTAAATAAGAAAATAAAAGTATTTTATAAACCTCAGAAAGCAGGGCTCTGGGTCTTTGGGAAATGAATCCAAGACCAAGAATCAGGAAGTGTTGGATAAGTAACTTGGTAGCGGTAGAGAGGACTTCCAGTAAGGGCCCCGATATCTCCTAATGGAGCAAGGTCTCCAAATACAACCCTAGTGACAGGACTTTAAACATTGAAAAGGATGAAGGTACAGAGAATCGAGTGCTTCCAAATCAATCAACAAGTATTTACTCATCAACATACTCTGCACCAAGAACTGTGCTAGGGCAAGAGGTACAAGAACAAAAATGAAGCCATTCTCAAGATGTGACATTGGGAACTCTGGTCCCATATTGGGCAACATGAAGGAAGGATCAGCCTTATGCAAAATAAATGTTACTTTTGTCCGTGTGGTTTGAACCAGCGATATGGCACTCCCAGCATGGAAAGTCCCTCTCCCAATGCAGATCAACAACATCTCTACACCTTAGAGATGTCTTAGAGAATTGCCTGGAGATACTAAGAGGTTAAGTGACTTGCCCATGGTCTCTCAACTACTCTACATCAGAGGCAGAACTTTTACTCAAGCTTTTCTGACTGCATGAATTGAATGAAATGAAGGTGAGGCATAGACTACTGCCTACATGATGAACGTCAAGAGGCATGGAAGAGTCTGCTTTGCTCACGCTGGTGGGTGAAGAATGTGTTGCTATGCCTTTATCTTTGATACCTTTGATAAACACAAAGACCTTCCAGAGACCTTATCAGTCAGCTCTACATTACTGACAGTGAGTTTCAGGTCCTTTCCTGAGAGCAGATATTGGGTTTTGTTCAGTCATTTCAGTCATGTCTTTGTGACCCCATTTGGGATTTTCTTGGCAAAGATAGTGGAGAGGTTTGTCATTTTCTTCTCCAGCTCATTTTACAGATGAGGAAACTGAAGCAAACAAGGTTTAAGTGACTTGCCCAAAATCACATAGCAAGTAAATGTATGAGGTCAGATTTGAACTCAAGTGTTCCTGACTTGAGTGCTCTATCCACTGTGCCACCCAGCTGCCCCAGAGCAGATACTGATGGGAAAGAAAGAAGGAATAGGAGGAGGCCAAGAGGGTTCTGAGGACCTGAGGGATTATGAATGAGGAAAAGAGACAAAGAATAGAGGAGTGGAGGCAAACCTAACCAATCTCAACTTTATCAGGGCAGGAACTAGCTCACGTGCTCACCCGCCACTCCTGCCTCTGATCTGTGACTTACATCACAGGATCAGATGTAGACCTGGAAGGGAGCTTAGAGATCACCTAGCCCAATGCCCCCATTTTGGAGATGACAATACAGAGGCCCAGGGCAATTTAGTGAGTCATCAAGGTCCCTCTGGCACTACCTGACAGAGCTGAGATTTAACTTTATTTCCCTTCTAGCAGGCTGGAAGGGAGTTCAAGCTTTCTTCTCTCCAGTGACCTGACTGATTCCCAGCTAATTTCACTTGCTTCTCATGCACACATATTCATACTTATCTCTGCCAGAGACCCACTGCTCAAAAGTCAAATGAGACATCCATATTTCCAGACCTGCAAATTCAAACGGTCCTACTAGTAGGGAAAGCACCCACATGACAGAAGTACTCTATCTACGTTGTGATCATATCCCATTTCCCCTTTCTGTCTCTTGTATGCACACAGCTTTTGAATGTTATCTCCCCCATCAGAATGTGAGCTCCTTGAGTGCTCTGTATCCTCAACAATTGGCACAGTGCTTGGTACACAGTAGGTGCTTAATAAATGTTTGTTGATGATGAGAAGCAAAAATGGAAAGCTGCTAAAATTTCATGGACTGAACATTGGGTTAAAAGGAATAATTAGCAGAGGGGAGAGATAGGTACCAGTTAATAGGTAGCATGGTCAAGGGATGGAGCATTTGGTTAAAAAGACTTGGAACCATAAGTTTAAATTCTGACTCTGAAACTCCCTAGCTGTGTGACCATGAGCAAGTCACTTAACTTCTCTTTAATTCTCCATTTCCTTAACTGTAATATGGAGAGACTGATCCCCATAAATACTCACCTTATATCAGGAGTTCTTCACTTGGGCTCCATCAACTTGTTTGTTTATTAATATTTTGATAATAGCATTTCACCATATTTTATTTCCTTTGTATTTTATTTTGTGCATTTAAAAACAGGATTCCAAGAAGGGGTTGATATGCTCATCCAGACTGACTGCCCTAGGGTCCAGGACACACACCCCTGCCTCAGACTTACATCATAATCACATAGTCACACTGTCACCAACAAGGCTCCAATGAACCAATGAGTTGAAGGCATTTTGCAAGCATCAAAGAGCTATATAAATTTCACCTAGGCTTAATACATCCTAAGACCCATCAACCACAACCACGATGTCATTCCACATCCATCCACCAAGAAAAATGATTTATGTCAGAACTTCGTTATTTCCTTTAGTGACTCCATTCATGCAATCCAAGAGCAGGTGTTGTTAATGATTATGCCTTAGCATGGGTTTTATATCATCCATAAAGAACAAACAAAGGCTAATTAGCATCCCTATAAAAATAGAATAAGCCACATGTGCTATGTTACAAGCATCCATCATGAGCAGCTGCTGGGAATATGTTAGCTTGTCGAGGCCAGAGAGGAAGTGGGCTGGGTACAACAAGTAAGGTTTCTTTGGGTTAGATGGGGGTAGGAGGGGTGAGGTGGAGGGGCATCTGGTTGGCTGGATAGGGAAAGCAGATACTGTAATAAGGGAGAAAAGTCCCAGACAAAAGGTGTCTTCCTGAAAGGCCAGGCTAGGAAATGGGGGTATTATATGAAATGTACGAGCTCCACCAATTGGAATAGTTAGAGCCAAGCTCAAATGCATTCAGATGAGCCAGAGATGAGCCCCAGATTGAGGAAGCTATAGCCATGGGGAGCATGGAGAGGTGGTAGCAATCCTGAACCTTCACATTCAGGGATGTGGGAGGATTACAGATTCTCTGAGTTGGAAAGGATCTCAAAGGCCACCTAATCCTACTTCTTTGTAAACAAGGATGCTTTCGACAACAGAGAGGACAGCACATGTAGAGCTGGAAGGGACCTTGAAGATGACTGAGTCCGACTTCTCTCAATTTAAAGATGAGGAAACTGAAGGGAGAGAGGTTAAATGATTTGTCCAGGGTCATCCAGCTAACGTGTCTCAGGCAGGTTTCAAATCCAAGATTTTCTGTCTCCACTCCATCCATTACACCAGGCTGCCCCTCAAGTAGTCAAACCAGCCTTTGATTGAAGACTCCAGTGAGGAGGAACCCACTGACTCTTGTGGCAGCTCATAACATTTGTGGAAAACTCTAATTGCTAAAAAGTGATTCCTGACATCAAGCCTAAATTGGTCTCTTTGTCACTTCTACCTGACATTCCTAGTTCTACCCTCTGGGGCTCACTCAAACCAGGCTGATCTCTCCTTCACCTGACTGCCCTTCAAATACTTGAAGACATCCATCATGTCTTCCCTCAGGCTTCTCTTCTCCTGGACAAATCTCCCTAATTTCCTTCAACTTATATTTTTAAGGCATGAAGTCAGGATCCTTCACTGTCCTGATTGCCTTCCTCTGAACACTCATTGCAAAGCACTGTAGCTTCTCGATGTCTTTCATAAAATGTGGCTCCCAGAATTGAACACAATACTCCAGAATGTGCTGACTAGGGCAGGATACAGTGGGACTATCACCTCCCCAGTCCTGGACATTATCTCATCTACAATGCAATCTAAACTTCCGTTAACTCTTCTAAGGCTGCCATATAATGCTGCTAACTCATGCTATGACTCATGCTGAGTTTGTAATCCTCTAATACCTGCAGATCTTTTCCAATGAATGCTGTTTAGCCATACCTCCCCCACCTTGTACTCATGGAATTGATTTTTTTTTAACACAAAGATGAGATTTTGCTTTTTTTCCCCTATTAAACTTCATCTTATTAGATTCACCCTCATGTTCCAGGGAGTGGCATAGTGAGTGTAGATTCATGTACTAGTCTTTGGGGGTGGATATGCTATGCTTTCCTCAAACTATAACTGCATTTCCTGATGCCAAAACATTAAAACTATAATACTGAAAAATCATTCAATCAAACAGAAGCTAGGTTCACATGATACCAAGCCTATAGATGTTTTCAGATAATAAATCTTAGGCAACACTGGGCAGAAATTCAGCCAGGTATGATAACAAAAAATATAGAATCTATATTTTACAGGTATTCCTAGCTTCAAGAACCTGCAACCAATACAGATCATTGATCCAAACTTTGGTGGGAGTTTAAAAGGTCGGAGAAGATGATCATAGCTGTTTCCCTAATCTAGTAAAGACCCCCAAAGGAAGTTTTCCTACTGCTTCTTTTCTCCTTGTTTCCTCTACCTGGGCTGTTCCTAATTGAATGAATCTTTGACATCCCAGGACAACGATGAGAAAAGTTGTTTTGTTCTCAAGGCTTTAAGCATTGCTTGATCAAGAGAATGTCTAGAAACCCCTTGATAACTTTTGGATTAGTTTACCTGTATGGGAGGACCTGCTGTCATCAAAGACAGAAACCATCATCTCATAGGTATGACCCACTGCAGAACCCTCTGGTTTTTCATAATCCAAGTCTTTGGTCACCTTGGAGAAGATGTCATAATAATATGAATACGTCAGTTTAACAAACATTTATGTACAAGACACTCTACTAGCTAGGCCCTAGGATACAAATGAAAAAAAAATTAGCCTTGGCCTTCCAAGCATTTATATCCTACCAGGATAAAATAAATCAATAAACCAAAAGGAAAATAATTTCAGAAGAAATAACCTTATAACCACAGTTACCTAATAAAGTCTGATTTGCCCCCTTATTTAAACTACATATTCCTTCGGGGTAGGAGGTAGGTCAATTCTGAACTTTGTATGCCCAGTATTTAATAACAGGCACCTATATAATTGCCTAAAGTTTAAAAAACACTCTACCTAGAAGACAATCCAATTGATGCAAAAAAATGATGCAAATGCTATTAATATTTTTTATGAGGAAAATGAGGCTAAGAAAGGTTGAATAACTTACTCTTGGTCACACTACTAATAAATGACAGATTTGCTAAATATTTTACATTACATATATACAGACTCAGCACCAGTGTTCAAACTAAACCTTGCCTAAATTTGGTTTGAAGGAAAATTGCAATATTCATGAAATGGCACAATTTAGTATAGCCTTTTTAAAAAAATAACTAAGATATCAGAATCATAGAAAGTTGGAACTAAAAGGGGGATCTTAAAGTTCCATTAACCAATCTACATCATTTTTTAGATGAGAAAAGTGTAACCTGCAGACAGGAAGTGACTTGCCTTAGGTCATACAACTAGGGTCAGAGTTCTAGAGAACCCAGATTTCCTGGGTTCTCTTGCCTCATCACTGCGATGTACAAATCAGAGTCAAAAACCTGGGTTCAAATCCCACATTTGATGTTTATACCTGTGTGATCCTTGAGCAAATCATGTAACTTCCATGGGCTTCAGTTTCCTGATCTTTAAAGTAAAAAAGTGGGACTAAAATCTTCTGAGGTCCCTTCCAACCCTATGGTCCAATCCCCTTTCCACTACCCTCATCATGGGTTGTATGTTTCTAAAATGCAAGAAGTTGGTGAAAGCTCAACTCCTGGCATTCAAAATCTATTAAGGAAGTTAGAAGTTGGCCCCAGTGAGAGAAAGTTGATCAATGTCTCTGCTCAGCCATAACTAATAACAAATGAGGCTGGCTCCCCAGTGTTTGAGGGCAGGGAAAAGTTACTCCAAGCAATCAGGAATTAGGACTTGGAACAAAAAGGAAAATAATCAGCAGCTGGGTGGCAGAGGGATGGGATGTCTTCAGGAGAAGAGCCCCAACTAGTTAAAGAACAATTAAGCACTCTCACTACCCTCATATGGATCCTCTATCAATAGAAAGATCAGAAGATGTAGGTCTATGTAGGGCTTGGGAGGAGGTTGACAAGTTGGTAGCTCCCAGTGCCAGGAAAACTAGCCTTCTTGTCCTGGCTGTTAGAAAGAAACTATCCCTCAGGAAATCAAACTATTTCATGGTCTCCAGTTCCTTTTCCCAAATTAATTAAGGGGTAGAATTATTGTTCTTATTTTACAAAGAAGAAAATTAAGACAGACATAGAGACATTCATTGAGTAATTAACTTTCCATTTAAGGAGGTAGGACTTTTGTCTTTCAAATCACTTCTTTTCTTTCTATGCCTACTGGTAAAGTGCAGGACTCAGATGAAATGCTGATGATATATTCATAGGATCATAGATTTAGATGTAGAAGAGAACTTGAAGTGAATTGTTCAACCCCCTCATTTTACAAGTGAGGAAACTAAGGCCCAGAGAAGTTAGGTGAGTTGCCTAAGGTTACTGTTTGTCCTTCATTTTCAAAGAGGACCAATGACATCACTCTGGGTAATATCTTGACTTGCACAGGATTAGATTTAAGTGAGGCAAAGATGCACAAAGTCATCAGCCTCACTCTCTCTTTCAGAGTCATCAAAGTTCGGTGGCAAGATGAAAGTCAGGATGACTGGTGATGGCCCAGGATGCAGTGGATGACGTTAGCATTTTTGATGTTTGACCAAGCTCTACCAGGGGTGGGGAACCTGTGGTCTCAAGGCCACATGTGGCCTTCTAGGTCCTCATTTGTGGCCCTTTGACTGAATCCAAACTTCACAGAACAAATCCCCTTAATAAAAGGATTTGTTCAGTAAAACTTGGACTCAGCCAAAAACCCATACCCAAGGAACTAGAAGCCCACATGTGGTCTCAAGGCCACAGGTTCCCCACCTTTGCATCTAAGCATTCCACAGCAGCTGCTTTGGCCTCCTTCATGGTCATTGGAATAAATTGTTCTTATCTGCCCATTCCACCAAGAGTTTTCACATGCTTAGAGTAGACACCCCCCTCTAATTCACTAACAAGTGTGAGGCCTGTCAGCTACTTTCAACCTGGCTTAACCCATCTACCAAGATGGTTTTACTGGGGTATGTCTGCTGCATATACTACAGCTTCTTGGAGTCACATGTGAGAGCTGTGTGACAGATGGACACCAAATGTGGGTGAGCAGCCCTGAAAAAGGTTCAGTAAGCCCTCACACTAGGGTGCTAGTCCTCCCTGAACACCCCTTATACCTCAAGGTGACACAGGTTATAAATGGCCAAGCCAAGATTGAAACTCAAGTTTTCTGAGGCCCAATTGGACTCTTTTCCCCCTATATAGCATTGGCTTCTCTGGTAACCAATACTCACCCATATGACATTGTCAAAGTCTTGTACTTGTTCAAATAACTCTCCCTCACCAAGTGGTCCACTATTAGGAACATACTGAATTGCATCAGGGGACTTGTCAAGGTCATGACACACCAATTTAGCAACAATTGTTTTATTTGCAATCACTTCAATGCCTCTATACCTTCAAAAACAGAGAGACATGCCTTCAGAATTAACATTATTTAAAACTGCAGAAATTTTCATAAGTATCCATCAATCTAACACTCTCCTAAGACCTAAAAAGTACTATTACCCATGGGACAATGAAAAGATCCATAGTGTATGAGAGTGAATGAAATAGTCCCTGCCCTCCAGGTGTTTACATTCTACTGAAATAAAATAAATCAATAAACCAAAAAGAAAATATTTCAGAAGAAATAGGATTATGGCCATAATCACACAACAAAAAGTGCATTGCCTCTTATTTAGACTATAAGGTTCTTGAGGACAAGGAGCATGTAATTTTTTTTTCTTCTTTGTATATCCAATGCTTAATAATAAACACTAGGAGATAATGGTTACAATATATATCCAATGAGCAACTTCAAAGAACAGAAATCAAAGATTTTATCAGGGAAATATATGACTAAAAATGATAGGCTGGTCCCATGATGAGGGTAAAGGATGACAGGGGGAAATCCTAAGTATTCTACTGATATCCTTGTAATGTCAAAAAAAAATGTTCAGCATGGTGAGTAGTGCAGTATAGCAAATTTATGGGAGTCCATGGATGAATCCCATAGAATGGGCAGATATGGATGAGTTTTGACTTACTAAATTTTTTTTAGCATTCAGTTTAAGTCATTTCATTAATAATTGATTAAATCTGTGACTTCATTTAAATCATTGGAGGGAAAATTCTCATCAATGATATTACGGCTTCATCTGAATATTTTTGTATATATATACAAATAATCTTAATGTAATGTGGCCTTATAGAGTCCATCTTTTCACTTCGAGTAGCTCACAGAGACCAACAATTCAATTTAATAATTTAGCAAGCATTTATTATGAACCTACTATATACAAGGTCCTACCTGCTAGGTGCTGGTCTTATGAGAGTAAGAATGAAAGAATCCCTGCTTTCAAGAAGCTTATAGTCTGTTGGCATGCAATAAAAAAACACCCAGGAAAATGTTTCCCAAAAGAAGGCGAAGCTATAGCAAGATAATAGATTTAGAGTTAGAGGGGCCCTTAGAGTTCATCTAGTCCAATGCCCTCATTTATGCATTATAAAATGAAGGTCTGGAAAAGAGAAGGTTGGTCCAAAATGTGTCACACAAGTAATAATTGGTAACACTGTATTCCAAATCCAGCTCCTCCAACTTCTTATCCAATGAGGTTTATATTCTTTAGACTCCCTAAATCCTGTTGAGAACTGCTTAATTGAGGTATTAAGTTTCAAGACTTCCCTTTAGGGGAACCTACTTTATATGTGGAGAATAGTTCAAGGTACTAGAAAGTCTCTGGGCCAGGGACATCAAATCCTCATTCATCTCAAACAACTTGTAGACCCCACATCTACATTGTGCTTCCATATCCCCCTTGGTCATCTGATAAATGATTGAATTAACAAGACTTTGTGAGAGGAAACAATATAAATATATATAAATCAATGAGTACTACTCACTTAAAATGGCACACAAATAGGAGCAAAGGAGGCAGAAGGTGGAAATCCTCCGGGGTTAGAGTTTGGCAAGGTATGATCAGCAATAGAACATGGGAAAAGAGGGTTTAAGAGTAGAGGGTAGTATGATGTCAACCTGATTCAATAACGGATCAAGATAGGAAAGAGAGTATAACCAAACAAGGGTGATAACCTAAGAAAATAGTAAGGAATGGAAGGATTAGTGTTCATGTAGGCTTAGAAGGAGTGAGGAAGAGAATAAACTATAATGATCAAATAAAGGAAATTCAGAGTTCTTGAAGATGGAAGTAGAACACTTGCAGATGTTGCCAAGATCAAAGGTATGACCATCCCTGTATGTAGCTGAAACAAAATGGAAGAGTAAGTTATGGGAATTGAGAAGATTAAGGAAATGGGAAGTTAGAGCTTTTGAGGGAACAGCAGCAAGTATGGTGAAGTCCCTCTACAATGAGAGCAGTTAGAATGGAAAGAAAGACTGTCAACCAAGAACTCAACTCATTAAGAAATGATGGAGAATGTTTTGGGAGTCAGCATGAGGGAATCTGCTCTAGAAGACCCTGGGTTTTTTTTGCAGAGTTTTTTTAAAAGATCATTTTTAAAATTTATTTATTTTTAGTTTTCAACATTCACTTCCATAAGCTTTTGAGTTTTAAATTTTCTTTGCCTCCCTCCCCTCCCCCCTCCCCAAGACAGCATGCAATCTGATATAGGCTCTACATATACATTCTTATCAAACATATCTTCACATTAGTCGTGTTGTAAAGAAGAACTAGAATGAATGGGAGGAACCATGAGAAAGAAGAAACGAAACAAAACAAAAAAGAGAGAGCAAATAGTCTGCTTCAATCTGCATTCAGAATCCATAGTTCTTTCTCTGGATGTGGATAGCATTTTCCATCATGAGTCTTTTGGAGATGACTTAGATACTTGCATTGATGAGAAGGGTTAAGTCTATCAAAGTCAATCATTGTACAATGTAGCTGTTATTGTGTACAACATTCTCCTGGTTCTGCTCATTTCACTCAGCATCAGTTCATATAAGTCCTTCCAAGTTTTTCTGAAGTCCACCTGCTCATCATTTCTTATAACACGGTAGTATTCCATTACATTCATATACCACAACTTGCTCAGCCATTCCCCAATTGATGGGCATCCCTTCAATTTCCAATTCTTGGCCACCACAAAAAGAGCTGCTGTGAATATTTTTGGTAAATGTGGGTCTTTTTCCTATTTGCACGATCTCTTTGGGATACAGCCCTAGAAGTGCTATTGCTGGGTCAAAGGGTATGCACATTTTTATAGCCCTTTGGGCATAGTTCCAAATTACTCTCCAGAATGGTTGGATCAGTTCACAACTGTACCAACAATGCGTTAGTCTTCCAATTCTCCCATATCTTCTCCAACATTTATCATTTTTCTGTTTTGTCATGTTAGTCAATCTGATAGATATGATGTGGCACCTAAGAGTTGATTTCCATTTCTCTAATCAATAGTGATTTAGAGTATTTTTTCATGCAATTATAGATAGCCTTAATTTCTTCATCTGAAAACTGCCTATTCATATCCTTTGACCATGTATTAATTGGGTAATGACTTATATGCTTATAAATTTAATTGAGTTCTCTATATATTTTAGATATGAGGCCTTTATCAGACACACTGGTTATAAAAATACTTTCCCAGTTTTCTGCTTCCCTCCTAATCTTGGTTGCATTGGCTTTATTTCTGCAAAAACTTTTCAGTTTAATGTAATCAAAATTATCCATTTTGCATTTCATGATGTTCTCTGTCTCTTGTTTGATCATAAATTCTTCTGTTCTCCATAAATCTGACATGTAAACTATTCCTTACTCTCCCAGTTTGCTTATAGTATCAGCTTTTATATATAAATAATCTACCAATTTTGACTTTACTTTGGTGTACAGTGGAAGATGTTGGTTTATGCCTAGTTTCTGCCATACTCTTTTCCAGTTTTCCCAGCAGTTTTTGTCAAATAATGAGTTCTTATCCCAGAAGCTGAAGTCTTTTGGTTTATCAAACAGTAGATTACTACAGCCATTGACTACTGTGTCTTGTGTACCTAACCTGATTCACCACTCTGTTTCTTAGCCACTACCAAGTAGTTTTGATGATTACTACTTTATAATACAATTTAAGATCTGGTATGGCTAGGTCACCTTCCCTAGCATTTCTTTTCATTAATTCTCTTGATATTCTGGACCTTTTGTTCTTCCAGATGAATTTTGTTATTATTTTTTCTAGCTCTATAAAATAATTTTGATAGTTTGATTGGCATGGCACTGAAAAGCAAATTAATTTAGGTAGAGTTGTCATTTTATTGTATTAGCTCAGCCTACCCATGAGCAACTGATGTTTTTCCACTTATTTAGATCTGACTTTATTTGTGTGAGACCCTGTTTTTAATGCTGGACATACCATGCCTGAATGGCACTAACTAGAGGATTAGAGAATTTACAGGCAATAGTCGAGAAACTCAACTGATCCAGTAGCTACCTAATTAACTCCTTGATCTTTCTTCTTCTTTTCCCCACCTCTTGAGCTCACCTGTACAAATATTTATCACAGAATGGTGGGTTATCATTGATCCCATGAATGTAGACTATCACAGAAATAGCTGCACAGTGCTGGCCTTCATCACATGCCTTAATGGCAAAGGACTGAACACTCACAAAGTCAGCTTCCTCCAGATCCAGATGGTTAGCGATCATCACAGTTCCGCCCTCTGGAACATCAAGACATTTCATTACGAAAGGGAATACTGTTTCAAAATATCCTCTCTACACACAAAAGTCCTGGGAAATCTTTAAAGAAAAATCTAGTATAAATTAATATAATGGGGCTTTGGTACATGCCAAGATCATACAAGATAGAGACATCCAAATAGGAGATGTGAGGGACCTGCTTCATTCTGCATTCATCTACCACATGAGTGAGAGAAGCCTCTTTCCACTGGTTGACTAAATCATTAAAACTACCAGACTGAATCTCCCTCTCTCTCTCTCTCCCCCTTGCTGACATCCAGGAGTGAACATCTCATTTACTCAGTGCAGTAACTGAGGAAAAGCTGAAGGCAATTTCACCTCCCCTTAAGAACTGTGGCCCCAAGAAATGGACTTGGGGTTTTGGTCTTGTTTCATTTGTCTTTTTCAGTTCTAGGTGAATGGAGTCTCATGCCCTGGAGCTGGAGCTGGAGCCATGAGGACATTGGAGTCAGAATTTCAGGCAAGATGTTGCTACTTGACCAGCAGGGAAGCCTTTAGAAACCAGGGTCCAGGACACAAACTTAGGGTGGCTTTAGACTTGGAAATTGTGGGACTAATGTTGAATACATACTGAGTTAAGTTGTAAACTTAATGCACTTCTCATCCACAGAAATTGAAGAGGATTTAAGGATGGGGGATTATGCCTCAGGTGTGTGTGGGGGAAAATGCTTGTATATTTGTGTCACACTTTTGAAATAAATATTCCTTTGTAAAGACTGACTTGACTGCTATATCATTAAATGGAAAGAGGGCACTAGGACCCCTAAATTGAAGGAATACAACTGGTGCTCATGGGAGTCAATGGAAGAGACTAGACATCTCCCAAGTTCCTTGACATTACCAGAGAACCTTAGGAGAGAGATGACAAGTAACCCACCTGGCCTTCAGGCATTGGAAACCAGAGAATCACTGTTATACCAACATTAATGAGTACTCTGAAACTGGATTGAAACCCACATATATTCCAGAAAATTGATAAATAACTGTTGACTCCAAAAAGGCACTGGTTGACCCTATTAAATTTTTGGTACAGCAGGAATAAATAGAAAAATTGTTGTTCAGTTATGTCCAACTCTTTGTGACTCCATTTGGGGTTTTCCTGGCAAAGATACTGGAGTGGTTTGTCATTTCCTTCTCATTTTACAGATGTAAACAGAGGTAAACAGAGTTAAATGACTTTCCCAGGGTCACACAGCTAGGTAAGTGTCTGAAGCCAGATTTGAACTCAGGAAGATGAGTTTTCCTGACTCCAGGCTCATCACTCTATCCATCGTGCTACCTAGCTACCAAAATATGAAACTAAGTGTATTTTTGTAAGAAGCTATAGGCGCTATCTCAATGTTTTCATGCCCTACTAGAAATAATTCCAGAAAATCACTTTGTTTCATCTATGGACAAACTAAAGTAGAAAGCTGAGCATTTACCTAGTGAATTCAGGCAGTGAATGATCAGCCTATGACTCATTCAGGCTTCCAGCTCCACCTAACCCACCAGAACCATTTCTTAAGATAAGGTGTCTGACTAGATGCTCTATAGTTTGATTTCACTGTCCTCGGGCAGTTGAAAAAGCTGCCCTAATCCCAAGTCTTTATTGTAAGGCATAAAAAAGAAAGTTCAAAGTCTTCAAGAATTTTTTTTTCTCCACAGAGAAAGGGAAAAAGATGGCAGGGTTGGAAGAGAAATAGGGAGAGGGAAAAGGGAAGAGATGAGAGGGAGAGACAGAGAGAAGAGTGACAAAAGAACGACTCCAAGTGAATGAAGGTAAAAGCATTTATTAAGCACTTACTATGTGCAAAACCCTGTTTTAAGTGCCAGAGATTCAAATCGAAAACTACAGTAATCTTTTTTCTCATGGAGTTCATATTCTAATGGGGGACACAACACATATAGAAGGTTTCAGCTGCAAGTCAGAAAAGAACCCATGGTCCTCAGGGTGCAGGGGCAAAGCAGATGGTAATGCATCATTTTACTGGCATTTCCACTGATAAAATCATACCCATTTCTGACATTGAACCAGTGTGACAATGCCAAGAAATTGAATGATTTGGTCATTTTGACTTACTGCAGGCTGTCCACACAGCTTTTATGTTGGTAGTCATGAGTCTGGGAATTCCAATTGAGAGTTTCCAGGAATCAAATCAGCTTGGGGGAAATAATGTTGAATTTCACTGAAACAAAAAGTGCTTATAGTTTGCTTCAGCCTGAACTAGAATCGTTAGATTGTAAACTCCCTGGGGATAGGAATTATTTTTTGCTTTTTCTTAGAACAGTGCCTGGCATATGGTAAACACTTAATAAATCCTTGTTTATTGATTTGGTGCCGGTTAGAAAATCTACCAGGCAACAAATATCATGAATCAGTACTTAAATTTTAGAGGGGGAAGGGTCTTTAGAGACCATCTAGTCCAAGCCTCTGATTTTATACATGAGGAATTGAGGCAATGAGGAGTTAAATTACTGCTCAAAGTCACACAGGTAGGAAGCAGAAGAGCCAGCATTTGAAAACAGGCCTTCAAACTCTACAGGCAGTACTTTACCTGGACACCACGGCTTCTAAGAGCCAAGACCAATTCCTGCCCCACCTTTGTCAATAGCAAAGTATCTATTCCCTGGGTCCAGTTCAAAGGTGAGCCATCCCATCTGGTCTTCATCAGCAGCTCGGCAGGCACCCACAGTTTTCCCCAGTGGAGTTTCTTCAGTGAGTGTGATATTGCCTTCTGTAGGAGTTGTTGTTCACCAGGGTAGGAGTCAGGACTGCTTCTTTGATGTTAAATAAACTTATTTGAAGGAAAGAACATGAGAACACAATTGGACAGAGTACATGTCTTTTCTCTTTCCTTTAGAGTAAGGGTCTGATACTCAAAATCCTTGCCCATTAGAATGGTTTTATCAGCTCTTTGGTAATTACATGGAGCATGGGTAGGCTCTTTGTGGGGCAGAGAAGGCTAGAGTTGCAGCCTGACAGCTCTGGCCAATGAATCAAAGGACATATTGCCCTGGCAATGCATTCAGCATATATGACATCCTTTTAGTACAATATCAAAAGCATTTCTCTCTTTAAAGATCTTTTGCTTTCAATAAAATTCTTTTTATTTGGGGATTTCATATCCTAGGTGTTTTTCCCATCTCTGAGCAAAACAAAAAAATTTTAATCAGTTTTATTTTGCTGTAGTTTATGTTTATTTCCTCCCCACCCACCACCACCAAAGGCTTTAGAATGCAAAAATTTTAATAATGAATTTCATCTGATTTCCATACTTAATTGTCAAGGCTGAAGTAAAATTACATATTTCATTTCCTTACCTGCAGGTGAGAATAGGGGCCTTATTGTTTACATTGATGAGGAAGATCTTTATGTTTCCCATGATAAAAAGTCCTCCTGGGTCAGCCACTTTAATAACCAATGAAAAACTAAACAAACAAACAAAAGCAATAGGACACAGCACTTGGGAATGCAGGCTTGCTTTAGGCTGGGTCTGCACACAAGATTGGTCCAGCTGTTTGGACCAAATTCACCAGTCAGATTGCATTGGTCAAATCCATCAAAAACTCGGCCAAACACATTGCTTATACCACATTTGAACTGAGCAAAGCTCTATGTAGTCAAATCAGTTGAGCATATGGGCGTATCAGGGCTTCACCTAGCAAGGTGCAAATGAAACATGGCCCCAGGGTGCTATCATGCAGTAGCTTTCTTACTGGTCTGCCTCAATGAATCTGTAGAATATCTGTCTCCAGGGGCTGACATATCCACACTCCTGTCTCGGTAGTATACTGCTCCCAAGTCCCCTGTTCTCTTAAACCCCACATTGTGTGAAGGCAAAATTCACAGGTGATTGTCTCCCTCTTCTCCTGGCACAGATACACCTCTGTGACCTCCAAGGTCCCTCCCAAGTTGAAATCTACAATCCTTTGACCTGTAATATTGGGAAGTTTAACAGAATGCTATTTTAGGTGCCTTTCCACTATGAGTCCCATGAGGCAGAGGCAGCTGGGTGGTTCAGTGGATAGAGCACTAGGTCTGGAGTCAGGAATACCTGAATTCAAACATGGCCTCAGACACTTATTAGCTGTGCAAGTCACTTAACCTCTGTTTGCCTCAGTTTCCTCAATTATAAAATGGGAATAATAATAATAGCACATACCTCCCAGGGTTGTTGTGAGGATAAAATGAAAAAATGATTGAAAAGTGCTCAGCACAGTGCCTGGCACAGAGTAGGCACTCTATAAATGATTATTTCCTTTTTTCTCAATCATGACTTTTCGTGGGTTCATAGACTTAGATCAAGAATCTCAGAGATTACTAACCCAACTCTCTTGTTTTGCAGTGAGGAAATGAGGACCGGAAACAAGGTAACTTGACCAATATCACACAGAAAATAAGTGACAGGCAGGGTCATAGTTAGAACCCAGGCCCTTTGATTCCAAATCCAACTCTCTTGTTCAATGCCTTTATATTACACCTAAAGAAACAGAGACTCGGACAGATAGTAAGTCACAGAGCCAAGATTTGAACCTGGGTCATCTAAAGCCAAATCCAGCTCCCATGCTACCAGCCCACACTATTTCCTACTGTGACACTAAGCTGGGTATTTTTTTAGAATCAGTCTTCTAGCCATTAATCCTCCAAGCTCAGACCTTTCAATATCGAAAACGGAATGACAAGAGCAAATGATTTTACTTCAGGAACTCTTCTGAATAGAGTAACAATTAGGGAGAGAGATCCAAAGGGTAGGAAGATTAATGGGATTCCATTTCAGCAGAGCTGATTATAGATTTGGAGGAGGAGAGCACAGGCTATGGGGAAGCTGGATGCTTCCTAATAGGAAGATTACCCTTTGGCTCATTAACATGAGGAACTATGCATAGATGATACTGCTGATTGTATTGGCCTCTCCCCTCAATTCCCAGGTGCAAGGTTTGGTGGCTAGGCTGTTTCCCAGGAAACAAGATTCTATCTATGAGGGCCAAGTAAAGAGACAAGTTCAGCAGTTATCTGGATAATCGTATTGATTTAGGCAGTAGATCTGGATAATTCGGAGCAAAAGAAAAAAAGAAATAAAACAGCAAAATCCCAAACCTTGCTTATTTCTCACTCTAATTCTATAGATGCAAAATGATCTCAACCACCCACCTCTTAACAGAAGGGCAATGGACATAAGGTACAGAATGACACATTTTGGGACATGGCAAATGTTTGGATTTGCTTGACTATGCCAATTTGTTACAATGATTATGTCTTCTTTTTTGTGTTTGGGGTGGGGTAAAGGGGGTATGTTGAGAGGGTCACCAAAAAAAAAAGGAAAGAGGGTTATTGAAGTATTTAAAAGCATATGGGTGTACGCACACACACGCACACACTCATGAGAACTAAAAGAAGCACAAAAGGAAACACAGATAAGCAGAACAACTTTGAAAGTGACATGCTGAATTCAAATCAATAAACATTTATTATATACTTTTAGCAAGCTACATGCACAAGAGATTTGTGTTTTCATATTTAATCATCTTTTTCTGTCCATATACTTTGTGTATGGAAATATTATTTTTTTTCTATTTTGGGGGGAGGAGGTCATTATATTTTTTTTTAAATTTAAATAAGGAAAAATGTCATTAATTTCATCTAGATATTGCTGTCATTCAGTATACGACTCTTTATTACCCAGTGGGCCATACTGTCTAGATGGTTTTTCTTGGCAGAGATATTGAGAATGGTTTGCCATTTCCATCTCCAGTGGATTAAGGCAAACAGACGTTAAGTGACTTGCCCAGAGTCCCACAACTAGTGTTCGAACTTGGGTCCTCCTGATGCCAGCTCCAGAACTCTATCTACTGAGCCACCTAACTGCCTAGTAGCTAGCTAATTACACTCTAACTTGAAACCAATAGTACTCCAATAATTCAGCCCAGAATGATGGGTTTTTTTCCATAAGATTGTTTAGAAAAAGATTTCATTCTGCAGGATTTCACAGGTTTTCCCAAAATAAAATGATTACTAAGAAATGACATTCGTATAACCTTTAAAGTTCTCAAAGCTTTTTTTACATATTATCTTGTTTGAACTTCAAATCTAGTCTATGAGATAGATGTTGTAATTATTCACTTCAAGAAGGTAAGCTTCTTGAAGACAAGTACTCTGCATTTCTATATATTTCTGCCACTTAGCGCAGAACCTAGCACATAATAAAGCACTAAATAAATGCTTATTGATTAATTAATTATCAGAGTTTCTTTATCTTTAAGGTTGCTCTGCTACCTTAGGAAAGTCAATTAACCCCTCAGGGCCTCAGTTATCTCTCCTGTAAAATGGGAGGTTTTCATTAAATGATCTCTGAGATTCCTTCTCCTACTAAATCAATGATCTCCATCTTACAGCTGAGTCTCTGATAGACCTAGTGACTTGCCTAGGGTCACACAATTTGTAGAATCAGAGGTGGAATTTTAACTCAGTTCTTCCTGACTCTAAAGTCCAGCTTCCTTCCCATGGCACCATGCACCCTAAGGTACCTCTGGTCAGATTCTTACAAACATAAATTCATGGTAAAAATTATTTTTATCCAATAAGACTAAGAATTATCAATTAGAAAAACATAATGAACCAGCTAATGAATAAGAGCCAGTTATAATCCTCTAACTATACTTCATCTAACTCAATAAATACCGAGTATTTTGTTGAAGGGATGGGAAGGTCCTAATGAGCCATTTCAATATTTTCATCAGAAGCCAAACAATGGAGATTCCATTGCTGCTGCTATCTCCCTGGAAGGGATGAATTAACAAGGGTAAATAAGGCACACCGGAATTTCTCTATCCCTACTTAAAGGTTCAGTGATCCTAGAACCTATTAAAGTCCCAAAGTCAAAGAAAGAAGAAAAAAATAATGAGCACTCTGTTGATCTTTATTGGGAATTCTGCATGAACCATTAGCAAAAGAATTGTGGATTCAAATTTTACAAATGGGTAATTAATCATTCAGTGCAATAAGCCCCAATTTCTCAGAACCTAAGGAAGGGAAAGGGTCTCACTTTAATTTGTATAAGGAAAGATCAATTTTTAAAAATAATTTTTTATTAGTGACCTTTTTTCCCATTTGTTAATGCATTTTTAAATTATAATGCTTTATTTCAACCTGAATTTGTTATTTTATTGATGGAGGTAGATCCAAGTGGAGAAATTCCTTCTACCAATGCAAACTGGCTACTTTACTGCAACTTACAATCTTAGACAACTGAAACAATTATAATTTTGAAAACAGACATATGATCCTTACTGTCCAAAAAAAGTCAAGAAATGAACAAGCAAAAGAAGGAAGGAAGGAAGGAAGGAAGGAAGGAAGGAAGGAAGGAAGGAAGGAAGGAAGG